GATGGGTTATTTACGAATTTGTAAAAATTTATATGTAAAAATCCACATATAGGAATTTACATAGAAAATAAAAATCTCTATATGAATCCATATGGTTATCCATATGGATTTTTAAACACCACATACATTCTCACATACATTTTTATTTTCCATATGGATTACTATATGGATTTTGATTTTCCATGTAGATTCCTATATAGATTTCGAATTTCCAGGTGGATGTCTATAGAGATTTTGATTTCTTTCATAGATTCTTATATGGATTCCTACGGATTTTAAATTTCCTGTATAGATTCCCATGGATTGCTGTGGGAATTCACCTGGAAATTTTCAACAGGGCATTCATAAGAGTCAAGGACTAAGTCTTCAGAATGTTATTATGGATATAGATAACTCTATATTTAATTATAGTCAAGTTTGTATTATCGCGAATAACATCTAGAGCATGTTTGCATTTAATTAACTATGATTCTTCATCAATAAAAGCTAGTGAAGAAGTTATTATTGAATATAATCGGTTAAAAAAGATATACAAAACAGAGGCAGCAATAATTATTATTTTAAAACAATGTCATTATAAAATAAAAAATGTCTTGTGGATGTTACCAAAGGTAGTTTCTACTGTTCAAGAATCATATAAAAAACTGTCCATATCAAATATTGTATGGTTTATAAATATTTTTCAAAATACAGATAAAGTTTCATATTATGCAAATGCAGTAATATAATGTTTATTATATTTAGATATTAGAAAACAATTGTTTATTTCTGATAAGTTAAATGTTTTTGGTAAATTAGCATATCGATATGAAAATAGAGTAGCTAAATTGAGTACATATGCAATACGACAATATTTAGGAGAGTGTTTTTCCAATAATGTCAAACGAGATACATCTGAATTTCTCATAACTCTTTGTAACAAATATGATTATATAAATATTTAATGGATATAAGGTAAATACTATAAGTCGATGCAAATTTTGTGATAATACAAAATATACTATAAATAATAATATGATTATTTCAATTCCCACTAATGACTTGGAGAAGAAAAGTTATAAGTTTCAAGATTTGATTAATATTACGTTTTCACATTGGCATCAATTTTTCAATGAATTATGTGAACATTGTGCTAGATATAACATGTCTAACTCCTTCATTGTGGAGAGCAAAATTACTAAGTGGACCAAGAATGTGCAGGGCGTTCTATCAGATGTATTTTCATAAAATTTTGTACATAACTACTTTTGACATCGCTGAACACGAATATGAAGTTGAAATTAGAAAATTCAAAATGGCGGATCCAATATGGCGACAAAAATATAGAAAATTTTAATAAACTGACGAATTTTTGTAAAGCTCGATAGGGGGTTTTTTGGGTTACTGAAAACAAATTTGGAGTCAAAATTAGAAAACTAAAAATGGTGGAGCCAATATGGTGGATCAAAATGTCAAAAATTCTAAATAATTGGGGGATTTCTTTCATATTCGGTATTACAGAGTTTTTAGATTCTTAAATATTCACCAGCTAATTACGGGGGTAAAAATATTTCGATTATTTCGCTATTTTAAACAAAATATAAATTATAATAAAATTGTTAAGTGCATGTTAATTGCAATTAAATGCTTATTATCAATTTTTAAATGAATCTACCATCAAAAATTTTTAAATTTTGACCTTAAATTTGTATTCAGCGATCCTTAAAACCTCCTAGTCCTAAGTTTTGTGCAGAACTGCCAATTATTTAACTGTTATTGAATTTTTTGTCAGTATGTGTATATACATACTCCACAGTTTGAGCTCACATAGTCGAGTACGTCTATAAAATAAACGTACTTCACAGTGAAAGGGTTAAAAATGAACTAATATTGATCCAAAAAATAATTGTTAAACATATATTATTATTTTTATTATAGGGGATGGTAGATTAATGAAGAAACTACATTAATTTATGCGTTCTACCAAAAAATAACGTGTTAATAATTGGCCAGTTGTGTAAAGTTATGAGTGCCATATTTCATTATGGATCAAATATCAATAATGATCATTATATATTGTTAGAGAAGTGACCTCTAATGTCTGAATTGAAGCTGATGATATACAAATTACAAAGAGGCCAAGAGGCTCTAAGAATATTTATATACTTTTTTGCAGAAAATTGATAATAAATAATATATTTCTTGTAAAAAAACTACAGTTAAAACGCGAAATATTGTTGTTTAAATATTATGTTCTAAAAAAAAATAACGCCCATGACGACACCGATAACTATACAACATGGAAAACCATACAATTTGAAAAAAGCTAAACATTGATATCTTATTTATTTTACGAAATATTCCAAATATCTCATGCCAAATTGATACATAAGACTCGTAATATCATAACTCCGAATTACGTAATGAAATATTGTGTCTAAAATAACTAAGAATTATTCAAATTTAATATATTGTTATTTGGTATTTAATATCATGTTTATAAAAAAAGTGATATCCATATAAAATTACCTTTCCAAAAAAAGGTAAAAAAAGTATCAAATAAAAAAGTATCACACTCTTAACATAATTAAAATATTAAAATAAAATATCGTCATTAAAAACTTATAATTCCTATAAAAAGAAGTAATATCAGAGAATTAGGCCAAGTGCAAATAATTTCCTAAAGAATTGTATTAATATAATATTGCACCTATAAAAGCAAAGAAATTATTTATTAAAAGCAATGTTGTATATACAAATATCAAATGTTAACACTGATATACGAATATGAAATATTTTAGCTTTGACAAGTTTTTTCTATGACAAAAAGTTTTGAAAAAAAATTAAATTGACAGCCAAAACAAACACACTTTGCGTGCCCGGTTTGAAAATCTATGTGTGTTTTAATGCGGATAATATTGTTCTATTTTATTAGGCTTTTAGATTAGTAGATTTTTGGATTTTAGGTAAGTATCTTTTGAATTTCCATGTTTTATAACTTTATGACAATTAAAATCAATGACAATTAAAATCATTCAGTTTTGTTTCCAGAAGTTCCCGTATTGGATGTTATATTAAAAAAGAAAAACTATAAATTCATCTTTAACTTAGTTAGCTTCGAATACCTAGTAAAATATAAGATAGATAAAGTTTTAGTATTATTTATTTTTTTCTTCTAGCAAAATCGATGACTTTTCGCTCAGATAAACACCACATTAGATCCGCTGTTTTAAATATCAGAAATTAGTCATCTAATTGATACTGAAAATATCCTGCACTTGTTTATGGTTCGTGTATTTACAGATAGCAATTTTCCTTCACAATATCGACAGATTCAGCAATACTTGTAACGATATAGGAGATTATCTGGAGAAATACAATTTTAACTTTAAAATGGAAGATGTTTTCGTTTCCAAGTAATTCTAATAGCACGACTATATTTAGCTGATCAAAAAATTAGGAATGATAACGTTTTCACGTTTGTCTCGGTAGGCAAAAAACGGTCTTTTTTTACCATTGTTCTTTGATATCCTGAGGATAAGGTGATAAAAAAATTGTTAAAATAAAAGTTACAAACTTTAAAGAGAAGAAAAGCACATAAAATAATAATATTATTATATTGAACTGTGTGATAATGGGTTTTTATAAGTTTAAGGTTCAAAATTATGTTAAGGACAACTCGATTTTTGAACTATATAGTTATTTTTTCTTAACTGATCTCTCACAAAAATTTCTTAAACTGATTCTTTATATCCACGAAGATGAAAACTTCTCTCTTTAAAATTCTTATTTTAATATATTATTATATTATAAATAAAAATTATAACATACTTCATCAATAGTAATTTAGATAATGCATTGTAATATGTGATAGATTAAGTTTGAATTTAGAGTTTACTAAGTTTTATCAGATATGTTAATGTATACTTTTTATACGTAGTTTATGGTATCGCTCTAAGAATATATGTCATGTTCCACTTGATAAACTTCAGATATATACACGTGTACGGTTTGAATCGATGTGACGCCTGTTAAACGTCCGTTTGTAATGCTATATTCATTTTTTAACATGTCATACGTGTCGATCTAGCGGTGAGCTTTCACGATGATATCTTATACGACAATTGAAGGGTCGTCTAAATAAAGCGTCTACTATCTACTGTCCATAAAATACTACAACATCTATAACATGTATAATAATTTTAACATTATAATAATGTTGTAATGAGAAGTAAATTAGAGTAGAGATCTTTGGTAATCGTGTCGAGTAATATTGTAAATTATTAATAGCGCTAATTTAAATCAGTGTCTTTTTTAAATAATTAACATATAAATAACATGAACTAATGAAGAGGAAAATAAATGAGCATATTCATGCATTTCGTGAATGTACAATTATTATTAACATTTATTATTATAAACATAATACAACAACAAAATTATTATTATAAACATACAGAACTTTTGTATTTTCTTCATCTCCAAAATATAACAATGACACGTTGTATTTACAGATGGTGTGAATGAAAACAATGTACTTACAAAATTAAAGTTTTTCAGAAGATCTTGTATTTCTATTTTTATCACCAAAGTTCTGGATCTGATTTTAAATAAAAACATAAAAAAATAAATCAATATGAAACAATGTGTAGATTAGTTCGCACGATACTTTTCTTGAAATGCTGTCTATCGAGAAAACAGACAAGTAATGAACTGTGAAAACGTCAAGAAATGTGACATTAAATGTTATTAATAGCATTAAATGGTAATAAAGTGTCAAATAATGTTTTTCGTCATTATTGTTGAATTTATTTCGTACACACTTAATTCGAGATTTAAAAGATCTAAATAATAAACCTAAAGGAAGAGTGTTGAGTACCGAGGAGGCGCGCGATTGGTCGTTCAGTCCTTCGGGCGGCGCGTCGGATTGGTTGCTGGGGCTTGTGTACGTAACAACCGGCGCCGGGGTGACGCAAGTCGCTGTGCCTGGTCGCACCGCGGCGCGTTGAGTCGCGCGACATTCGCACGCAGAGTACGACGTCGGTTGCGTGAGAGCGAAGCGTGTCGGTTGTTCGCGCGAGTGTGTGAATATTCATTGACCAAGTCACCACTCATGAACGCGCGCGCATTTCGTCAAAATGTGACCGGGCGATTCTGCTAATTTCGCGATTTTACGACGCATCTATATTGACGTGTTTGCGACACTTTCTCGGAGGTGAAAAGCGAAAAAACGCCGGAAAATTTCGCGCTTCACTGGGACTTAACACTAACGGCGATTACGATATTCTCATGAGGAAAGCTAAAGGTAAGTCGTGTTATTTTCATTTCGAAATTATGACAAGTTCATCATCTACGAGAAATGTGTGAATTAAAAAGTACTGAATTCATTAGCAATGCAATATTATGCGATGTTTCTATTTTTCGTAATTTGGTTGAATTGATTGTGATTATTAAAATTCTCTTCTTTATTCCAATTTGATTTATTCTCATTCTTATAGAGAAAAGGAAGAACGCTAATTATAGTATTGAAAGCATTAAGTAACGAATATCGTACTTGTTTTGTCATATTACTAAGTATTTGAGATATTAAGCAAGGAATAAAAAACAAAATTAAGAAATATTTAAATTAATTCCTGGTTTTAGATATTATAAGTATCCGATTTTACAAAAATTTCAGATTTATTGGGAAAAACGGTTATTAGGTAAATGCTTTTTGCGTTATATCGTATTATAACATAATTTTATACCCGGAAAACCGACGAGAGATACAACATTTTAAATCTTTGAGTTGCATATATGGCGGTTTAAATTGCCGCGCGTCGGCTGAGTTTACATCGCGATTTTACTGCAGTAAATCCGCACGCACTTTACACGTATCTTTTATACTTAAATACATTTTCTTTTTTATCATTTATTTTAAATTCCTGAAATGATATTAAATGGATATTAAACAAAATGTAGAAATCGACATTGAAGCGATCTTTAGTTTAAGAATAAACATTAATGACATTAATGAAAATCTTTCCAAAAAAAAAGAAAATACCAAGTGAATAAAATACATACATAAGTTAATGGAGAACATATATTCTAGTGTATTATTCAATTATAGAAAGATTGTTAAAAGGATTTAGCTTTAATATGCTCAGTAGATTGTGTCAAATTATCGTTCAAAAGAAAGCTATGTGGTGCGCTTAGTTTTGATGCTGATGGTTCAATGAGAGAACTTAACTTCTGGGAATTAATAAAAAAATAATTTCTATCACTGAACGATTGGATACGTCCTAAACTGCATTGAAAGAAAAGTATTGAAACCACAATGAAACTAATTATATAAATCAGACCTATAATTTTTTTGTAAATCGCACAACGACTGCACGTTTTTGTGCATTGTCACAAATCGCAAGCTAAAGGGAATAATTGTGTGCCTTAATTATGTATCTATGATATAAAAGTCATTAGATCGTTATCGTTCTAGAATGAAAAAAGTTCTTCAGCGAGGTCGTCCGCTTGTAAAAAATGCAAGTACGCGCGGTTTATACAGCCTATTGCACTGTCGCAATCCGTCATGAAAGAGAGCGTTTTTCTCCTCGTAACATTAATCTCACCGCGTTTCCGGAAGATAGTCTGGATTGCAGTTATGTTGCGAGTACATTGCTACTAAGGTCGCTGAGCATACGAATTTTTGTTTGTGTCAATCGGCAAGGCCGATTTCGATAGTTTTGATATCGTCTATTTATTTATCAAAAGGAAAGTACGGTTTTATTATATTTTCAAAACGCATCTTCTTATATTTCGAAGTCAAAATAAAACTAGCAAATTTTCTTTTTTTTAACTATGATATTTTCCCATTTTTTATGTATGCAATATTATATTATTACATTATTGGATTTAACCATAAACAATGATCGCATTTTCTTGTTTATAATTTTATTTTCTATAAAGTAATTTTATAATTGGTTTAGTTCAATATATATTCGTCATTATTAATAATTATTTATGCATCAAAGTAATAGACAGCTTATTAACTTTTCTCGCGAGAGTTTTCGGTATAAAATTAAATATTTACTACCTTTATTGAGAGATATTTTTAATTTGACACCCATTTCAACGCGCGTATATACACACATAATATATCGCGTACTGATTTCGGTATCCTAACGGATTATCCGTAAAAATGTATAAAAGATGTGCTCACGCATCGCGTACGAAGGTATCGTAAATTGAATTACATATTAGAAAATTAATATTTGTTAAAAATAAATATATGAGTAAAACGAAAAAATATATGGATAGCCAATAAATCTTTAATTGCAATTTATATTGTTTTCTAAACTTTGAGTCGGACTCAACTAGTAGAGGGACTTTTAAAATATTATACATCCAAATCTTCGAAACAAAGCTACGTAGAAAAAAGATTAACCGAAAGAACTAAGATATAGCTGTAACAGCTAAATGTGTCTTTGAAATAGAGACGGCTAATCGTCGAATCTCAATTTATTAGTTTCTTGAATTTAGGCGCTACAGTAAAAAATATTTGCCGCTAAATACACACAATAGTAATAAAATTATATTCCTATTTCTAAGAATTTTATTATTTCTTTAACTGAAATGTTTCTTAAGATGTTGTAGTATATGATTATTTTGCGTGAAGTTATCTAATTAATTCGATGTTACAATGTATTTGAAAAACTCAATTTTCGAACTTTAGATTAGATTTTAAATTGTGAATCATCTGTATTTTTTACGTCACTTTTCCCATTGATAGATCTGTTATATATTGTATATATATATATATATATATATATATATATATATATATATATATATATATATATATATTGAAACGCGCAATTATATAAATTTTTAATGATGTAATTTGATATCACAAAAAGTAAACAATATTTAGTTAAAAATTATATTTTTCTCTGTAGTTCTCTTCTTAATTTAAATTAAATTATAGATAAAATCTATTAATTTCTAGTTATATTAATAGTAACATCTTGCTTCTTACAAGACGTGTTTTACAATTAACGATATAATGCTCGTGCGCAGAAAGTGATAGCATGATTGTAAGATTAATTCCTTACAGAATTGAATGCTTAAGATTCATACGCGTAAGATATTTAGAAATAGCTGCCACTTTCTTAGCTGCTCGAACACATGTGTGCTTCTAATTTTGGCTAATAAATTTATATCTCACAGCTCTGCCTGTGATAGCCAACTCTTAGCAATAAAATGATTAACCTTTTAACTAAGTCTGAATCAGCTACTTAAATTTAGCTGATATTACTAATTACATTTTTTTATGTGTATAGTTTGTCACTATTCTTTAAATATGCCTGTCAGATAATCATCAATCTGCATTTTGTAAATAATACGAATGTAAAACTCTCTCTCTCTCTCTTTCTCTCTCTTCTCTCTTATTTTCGTTCCGCTATATTAAATATCAAATTATTTAAAAGTTTAAACAGTTAAGTTGATGTATAGATCGTAATATAAGAAGATTTTGCTCGCTTTAATGTAAAATCTATTAAATATCCGCGATATGCAAAACTTAATAGTGTAGTTTAACCCTATAGTACGAAACCTACTTTACGTAACGCACACGTGTTACGCGTGTCCGTTCAATGGACTACTTTTTTCAAAGAGTATACACTGATGTTAGAAATTTATGATCGGGTAGCATATCGATGAAAAGTACTTAAAAAGGTATTTTGTGTCACATGTAGTATTCCAAAAAGTGATTAATATAATCTACCTTTAGTTTTATTATGATATTAGTATAAAGATGTACTCCCCGAATTTCACGTAGGGTAAAGCGGGATAATTTGGATAATTTTAAACTTTTTGGACAATTTCTCGAGAAATAATAATTTTATCCTTACATTGAATATGTAGCAGGAAACTCACATGTCTAAGGAATATTTACTTAATATATGAGAAATAGCACTTTAAATCTTGAAGCGTAATGCCATTATCCAATTTACTCCTACAATTTTATTGAAGATCAATTTTGAGGGGCAACTCGAATATCTTACAGGGTAACTTGAATAACATTAAAAATAAGCATTAATATTATAACAAAAACAAAATCACGTATTTAAATGTTGTTCTTTGAACATTTTATTATACTTTTCAGATCAAATTGAACATAAATTAGGAAAACATGTAATAAAATTAAATACAAATTAGAAAGTCAAAGTAATCATGTTAGTCCAATATAATATTTTAAATACAACGAATATAAATAAAATAACATTAACTAAAAATTAACATAATAATTAACATAATAATTATAATAAACATTATAATATTATAATAAAAGCAAAACATTATATTTATCTATTGTGTTTTTTATATTAAATTGCACTTTTCAAATAAAAGTAAACAAAAATTAAGATAATTAATAAGAACAAAAATAATCATGTTAGTGTTATATAAAAAATTCATATACAAGGAGCACAAATGAACTGTTTTTTCCTTTGGTTCCAACGCATTGCTCATGATACTATGCTTTGCAGTGCTGGCAACGGATCCAGTCCCCTTTTTTTATAGAGATATTTAAATAGTACCTGACTTTATAAAATGCACATACATAGTTAAGTTTTTTTTTAAAACGTTATTAAACACGGCGGGGCTCCCAATAGAAGTGCGATGGACTTCATTTTCATTTCATATTTATCTTTTATTAGATTGAACTTTTCTGTATAAACTTTTACAGGGAACGTGAAATAATTGTGCAGCTTCTAAAATGGACATTACACCATCAATAACAGATATAATGGCTTGTCTCATATTTTCTTTGTTCCAATTTAGTCGAGTATCTTTTTTTCATAATGTCTCACTATGAAATAACGAAATGTATCTTAAAACAGTTGAAATATACATATTAGGGAACTGAGTACGTTATCCAAATTGCCTCATAAAAATGTATTCAAATTACCCCGTGCGTTGATATAAAAACATTGTAATATAGTACTAATCAACAAAATCACGTATTTAAATGTTGTTCTTTGAACATTTTATTATACTTTTCAGATCAAATTGAACATAAATTAGGAAAACATGTAATAAAATTAAATACAAATTAGAAAGTCAAAGTAATCATGATACACCACTAGTCGACGTGGTGATCCCTAATATATGCGGGAAACATTTTTAGATTATATTGTTATCATAGTTTTTACGTAGATTTTATAAAAGCTTAAGCTAGCAGAATATATTCTTATAAACTACAGTAACAATAGAAGTTCTCTATCTACACTGCTTAATGTAAAATACTCCACAGACCTTCAGATTCACAAA